TTGGTAGGAAGACTTATAGAAACGCACCTTGTCCTGAGTCCATTGTATGCATAATTATTTCCAAAGTCGAATATCGCCTCGAGCAAGAAAGATTGGGTGGCAGGAGTCGAGTGAAACATGTGAATCAGAGAGAGAGTAGACGGATCTTACGTGGCAAGAGGGAGACTTTGATAGGACCCAAGAAAGGACTACATAACAATATGACGGTTTCTGGTCAACATTACCAGCACAAGGGGGAAGGGGGTGAGAACGCCACGTGGAGTGTGAAGGGTTTTAATGGATGCCGTTCGAAGAAGCACACCACACTACATCAAAATAAGCACGGTAAAAATTGTGATAGGGAAGTTGTGATAGGATGATTTAGGAAATGTGAATAGCCCAGGGCAGAAAGGTAGATACCACAACTGTTTAGCACACGTTTGGTCAAAGGATCGGCTTCACTTTTCTCTTTGACGAGTTGTTGAATGGAGCTAAGAATGGCGAGACTCACTGATGATGCCGACTACGATGCTGGCGAAACGTCTGGGAATATAAGTCCACGGTCCGACTTTGGAAATAATTATGCATAAAATGGACTCAGGACAAGGTGCGTTCCTATAAGTCTTACTACCAACTATGACCAAGTTGCGAAAACAAGGTCAAACAACTTCTATACAACGGAAGGAGACTGCGACCACAAAAAAGGCCACACCATCTTAGTCTTCATACTCTAAACTAACGCCTGACGGATAAAATCAATCTATTCTGAGGTAGGATTGTTGAAAGTAATTGTGCGGCGAGACATAGCGATACACCTTTTTTGTATCGTACCAAGTCTGCAAAAAGCCTGCCGATTTTGAGCATTCGTCGTCTAATCTTGGCTTTGTCAACAAGGTCTTGAATGGCTACTAGAAGAAAACGGTGCCGGAAGTAGTGAATTTCGGGAGAGATAGAGAGAGAATGGGTCGGGATTGGGAAAAACCAAATCTGGAGGGAGCGTAGTGAATGTGCAGCTTACGCGCGCCCCCTTGAAGGCGGTATGGACCAATTGTAGAGGACTGCACACAGTAGTCCGAGCAGTTTTGTCTACTTCAATAAAATCATACACACACTGTCAACTGTGGCCTAGTGAGTCGAGGCGACTAAACAGGAAAAAGCTGGCTAACGTGCCTTCCTGTCTATTGTTGGATGTGTGAATCTGGCCCTGGATGCTCTAGTCGTTTTCTTGATGCTTTATGTCGAGAGGTTGGCCGGAGAGAGGGGAGGGTTGGGCATGACTCGTCTCATGGGCTTGACTTGTACTACGAGACGGGCAGATTAGACAAATGGTTGGAAGTTTGTCCGGGCAATGGAAGAAGTCTTTGCGACCAGGTCAGAGCCCCAGGGTTTCTGAATACGGGTCTGAAAGGAGAAGCGAACAGGGTCGATGTACCGTACAAAGAGTAGGCAAGGCTACAAGTCACCAACACGTGGATTTCAGTTTTATGGTGGGGGCAGAGGCAAGACCTAATGCACATTATCATAGTACATAGACGAAGGGCGGAGGGATGTAAAGTAGACATTGGACACTACAGACAGGA